ATCATTTATAGTAATGTTCACTGAGTTAGTTGTTCAAGGAAATTAATTTCATGGAGATGTTCAGACTGTTTCATCCAGTGTTGGATGCCAACTGTTGCTCAGCCAGGAATGACTGCTGTTATCATTATTGTTCTAATTTCTTGTTCGCAAAACTTTTAATGAGATTTAATAGCAAGAGATATTCTGAAAATAAATGTATTAAGCTTTGCCGTTACTGACGCTTTTACTCAGGAACGTGTTCCACTACTGCCACCTGCTGTTCTGTTTTTGCACGTTTTTGCATCAGAGCCACTGATCTCCACGGCTCTGGTTTGCGTAGACGCTGCGTAATTACGTCACGTCGTACGTGTCCCCGGTCTATTCCGGAGATGGCAAATGGCCTATACTTATACAGAGGTTTATCAAGGAGATGGCGCTCAGAGAGAAAACGGAACGTCTCCAGCTTTGTTCAACATTCAAATATGCCTGAAAGAGGCTGTAAAGATTCACAGAAACTATTTATCTGTCCTTCGACACCACCAACACTCCTGCGCCGCATTCTTATCAAACGTCACACCTACAAATCTCAAGGACATGACTTGTTATTGTATGAATGTCGCAGGGTAAAACTTCCTCTCTCTCTCTCTATATATATACCGTATATGAAAATAATATCATCAAATAATATCATTGAACGTGTTTGTTTTACACACAGGTCTTAATTGGTGTTCACGCCGAAATAGCTCAGTTGGGAGAGCGTTAGACTGAAGATCTAAAGGTCCCTGGTTCGATCCCGGGTTTCGGCATTTTGTTAGCTCTTCATTTTTGGTTTGTCGTGACACCGTCTACAGCGGAAGGTGAAATCTAGTCTTTATTTGAAAGCAACCATTCATCAACACCAATGTTATTTATTTTCTTTGATATTGTTTATTATTCAAAACTCTATTAAGGAAACTCACAAATTTGTACTCTACTTTGAGACAACAGCAGTATTATAATTGCACTTAAAGCAAATGAGGCAATCTAACTTAGCGTAATACTCCATATTCAGCTAAACATTTTACTGAGTCTCAATCCTAGCTCCACATTTCTCTCTTTTTCTCTACTTGTTATTTCTTTCAGTGCTTTCACAGCAGCCGGCAGGTCCGGTTGTAGCTCCAGAAGTTTCTTAAACGCCTCTTTAGCCTCATCCAGCTCATTCAACTTCTGGCACGCCTGGCCCAGTCGATACCAGGCTTTGAAGGCGCAAGGTTCGAGCTGAGTGGCTTGGGCTGCACTGTCTCTGGCTCGCTGTGGCTGGTTCAGTTTCAGCTGGCACAGAGACAAATTGGAGTGCAGCTCAGCTTTCTTCATTTTGAGCTGATCAAACGAGGGAAGCTGCTGTGTTTCCTCCAAAAGACTGCCGTCTTCCAGCTCACCAGCAAGGCCACAAAGGGGTATAAGGAGTTTGAGGGCCCGGCCGTAGCTGTCTGCTGCTCCCCACACGTCTCCGCTCCTAAATCTACCTCCACCCCTCTCCTTGTGCGATTTTATCCACTCCCATCTCTCCGCGGGGGACATCTCCCAGGATTCCTTTCCTGGAGTGAAAGCTTGAAGCTCAACAGTGGCAACAAGAGGAAGGTCTTCATTTGAAGTATGGTGAACAGAGGAATCTTGTCCATTTCCAACAGGAGTAAGCTGTATCTGAACAACAACACACACCGATTAAACTCATCTTACAAGCCACAACAGCATTTGTTCATTTTTTTTTTCTTCTCAGCATCCCTGAAATATTACATGCAGGTTTTATGCATAGCTTTTTAAAAAACATAAAAAACAATACCAGACTTTACTTCTGAAAAGCCATCAGTAAAACCTTACCTCACATTTCTCTCCTGCTCTCATGCCCTCCAAACAGGCCTCTGTGATGTCGCACTGCCCCTCACCCAACCTCAAAACTATCCAGTCACCGAGCAGGACCTGCAGCGGAGCATCCTGACGACGGACAATCGGTGTTGGCACTAATTCTGTAACAGTGACGTCTAACTTTTCGTTTCCTTTTGTTGACCCGTCTGCATCATTGGTCAAGGCTTTGAGTTGCACTCTGACTCGACACAGTGAGCCCAGCTTTGGACAGTTATTAGGTAAACAAGCTGAGGGAAAAAAACAAACAGAAAAAACAAATGCATTTTAGGAAAAGAAAAAACAAACAACAAACGGCACCAAATAAAAATAAAACAAGCAATGCAGCGTTTGTTAGTTATTAAATTTAAAAAAAGGTGAATTTAGGACATAGACGTGTGGCAAGAAAATTTTCAGCTTTATTGACCCTGAATAGTGTTTTTTTTTTTAAATCTAGTATTTTTCTCTTAAGTGTGCTGCAAACACTGAGGTTTTACTTCAGAGAAAGCACAAAAGGTGAAGTTATCACTTAAAAAAAGCTTTAACAACATAACTCATTCCGGCTGCAAGAGAGAGAACCAGAATTCCTGCAGGTAGATACTGTAACAGTAAAGGTACTCTGGTTTATCCTTCCCAGGAAATGTTGGCAGCTTTTTTTAAAATCTCAGGCTTCTGTTTTTTTTTTTTTTTTTTTTTTTACAATAGAGCAATATTTACACCTGTTTTAGGAATATTAGCAATGTTTACCATGTTAATTTGGGCTTTTTCTTGTATTATAATTTCTCTCACAAATGCAAATTATGTTGCCTCTGCTCCTCATACGCATAAGTAGTTTGTGACCACTTATGGTATGAAGGATACAAAAAAATAAACACCTCTAATACTGCTCTTCCATCCTCTAATTTGAATAAACGAGTCAAATCTGAAATCTGGAGATTAGAAATCAGACAAAAAATTTGAGCTTAAACAAAATGTCGTACATGTATCATCTTCCGTGCTAGGTGAGCTCTGTTGCGTCGACTCATGCGTCAGTTTTTGCTGAACCCTCCAGAGGCCGCCAGGACACACCGACACCCAAGAGATGACATCAACAGCCTCCTGCTTATCACGCTGCATATCAGGCTCCATCACTGGGTGCACAAATATACAGAAACAATAAGGATAAGGTGTTTACATGTTTATATTAAATGACAAGAAAAATATTGAATTTACTTCATAAAAAAGAAGCTTTGGTCTGTGGCAAAACACAATCATAACATTCTACACTGATACACCAAGAAAAATAAATTTACTTTTTATAGACAGGTGAAATAAGATAACTGTACATGTTTAAGACATTGGATTTATTTCAATATTCAACAATATTTAACAAAAATTATTTTCAACACAATTTATTTGCTTATAGTTTATTATTAAAGCTGTTTATGTCGACATGTTACACAATAGCTCAATAATTGCACGTTTACATGCCAGTAGAGTTGAAAAACATACTGTCTAAACTGTACTAAAGCAGGCATAGTGGGACTTCACTTTGAGTCTGTCTGCCGGAAACATTGCTAAGGCTTACAAAAAAAAAAAACTAAAAAAAATACTAATTCGTTCTATCAAAAAACTAATTAGTGCACATCATTTCATTATGTAATTATATGTGGCCACAACATAAGTATATAGTACACACAAAATTTTAAAATATAATCCACCTACAGTGCACCTTCTGTAACAGAGGAACAAACCAACATGGTAGACAAGGATAGATGGAGTTTTATTTTAGGCGTAGTATAAACTTTAAAGAGGTTTTGATTTCTCATTAGTGAGGCATTTAAATTAAATATTGACTGCCAGGTATGAATGATGACCAAATGCAACGATGTGTAAAAATAGCATCTGCTGCTGTCCGATTGGTGCTTGTATCGAACATTTCAAGTTTTTAGCTCAAGGCCAAATTGAAAGACGGAAGGATGCATTTTTTTGCATCCGTTCGGCAGATATGATCTTTATGTGGAGATGCCGGCCGAGGAGAAAGAGAAAGGA